ATCGTGGTTCTAAGTCAGTTGGATGGGATGCAGTCATCGGCATCGCTGGATGAGAGGACGCGGCATAATTCGCGTCCTCTCATCTAGGAGGTGTAAACTAGCACACTCCGTTCTTACTCATGTCCAGTAACTGCCTCACCCTCCGCTCCCTCCCCCTGATTTGGCTACTTGTTCTTGGCTGAAGAAGCCGTTGCTTCGCACTGAACTTCCCGAAAATACCGCGCATCGCGACGATGAGTGGCTTCCCCGAGCCAAGTTAGCGCCCAAGTTGGATGTTGGGGGACGCCAACAATCTTGGTTGCAATTTCGAAGGTTTTGCAACCGCTTCCACAGCAATTCAAACCGTCAAGTGAATGGTCAGTTATGTTCCGCTCAGGAATTCAGATTCCCTACAGACTGCTTTTCAAACGGCCATAGAAGAAGTTGAAGATTTCTACATGCGAGCCATGGTGGATCCTCGCAAAGTACTCAGGCTTTGCATTGGAGCGGTGGGGAAGACTTGCATGAAATTTCAGGTGTTGTACCGTATTGAGTAGTGAGTTGTTGTTCCAGACACTGTTTGAAGTAATCGGTTATCCTTCCTGATTTGAATTCTTCCTGTTTCCGTTATTTGAGCCCATATTTAAGTAGCACTCTGCGGGGTCGTACAAGCTAATTTCGTTAATATATTTCGATATTTCGTTAATCACAGAACACTGATCTAGTACTAGGGCCAGATTGAGGTGTCGTGCTTGGTTGACTATCTAGTCAGTTCAAAGCAAATGTAGCCGCAGTATCGCCTCTTAAGTTCGGGAATGTTCTGCAAATTCTTTTTTTTCCATAGCAACACGAGAGCGTTGCTATGGAAAAGAAGCATTAGCAGAACTGCAACCTTCCGATGTGATGCCACTTGTCCATCGTTTGGTTACGCGCCAGCATGGGCAGTGGGGCGCTCTTCCTCCTTGTGCTGGGATTCATCGCAGTGCTTTCCACTGCCAAGCGTTATATCTGCGGTCTGTTCCGCGACTTTATGTACCTTCAATAGATTGGTTGCGAGAGCTCCAGTGAAAAAGGAAAATTGAGGAATCCCGATTGCTATGGTTGGGACCGACAAAGTTTGTTTTTGCGGTCCGGAACAGCGTTATTTCTGAATGTTCAACAACACTGTGAGGCTCCAAAAATTTATTGCAAAAATTCCAAATAATTTTTTTTGCAGTAAACTTTTAAAGCCTCATAGTGTTATTAAACGTTCAAACTGAAACGAGGCCTCAGGACAGCACGATCGCAACGTCATTTTTTGATTTTCTAATCGATCTGAAGCGAAATTTTTGGCGCAGCAGAGAGATTCTTTAGTCTCCCCCTCTGGCAATGCTTTTTCAATTCGTCCCGCGAAGGTAAGCGTCTCAATGTTGATGTGTATATAAATAGAAGAATCATTGCACAGTTGGAACACGACTCACTCGTCGATTCAGTGAAAGCAATCTGCTTCCTGGTCGACCATAGCGGTCTGCATTTTGTCGCATTTTCAGAAAGCGTACTGCGGAGCAGCGCTCCATCGTCAACTTCCGAAAAGCGGCACAGCCGCTAAACAACCTAGGTTGGATGAGAAGAATCCCGCCCAGTCGAAAGCTAAGAAAAGTAAGTTGTTCTGCATACGGTGTTTTCACTGGTGTGAAACTTGACAACATCGAGAATGTGGTTAGATCTTGAGCAGTACTGCCATTTAGATTCCCCCGTTTTCCTTCCTTCCTTCTCGTTGGGAAGTTACGGTGATCTGAGTTGATGCTACCCGCTGAAGTGGTACTTTGGATAAAGGTTGAACTGTATGGTTTACGGTTCAACCTGTATGTCTTGGGAAAGGCTGATTAGCAGAATGTCCCATGGAGTTCTCCGAGACTTTTGCCAGGATGGCTAAAATTTTTCCCGAAACGTGGCCTTGTGACTGGAGGCAACTTTCGCAGATGGAAGCGCTGCCTTCTTTCCACATGTGAAACTTCTTCTATCCAATAGAATTAGATCAGTTCATTCGATAGATGAAGATCCTATAGAAGTTGAGTTGAGAAGAGTACAGAATAGCTGTTTTTGCTTTTTGATACTGAATAGTCTGTTTGCCGATGTACCGTATACAAATCAGAGAATTGGGAAGCACTTCATCAGAGCAGCTTAAACAGTTCTGCAGTGGCATGTTGGGTAATTCTGTTCTGGAGTGTTCTCATGAATTGTTTTTCAGCCTTCCCGAAGAAAACGGCACCTGCACCACAGAAAGATGGCTCACAGAATGGACCGAAGGCTTCTTCAAAAGGATCCTCCTCCAAACCTCCACACAGAGGTGGTCCTAGTCGAAACCCGATGTCTAGACGGCTTTCGCCATCTTATTCTCGATCGGGGCCATCTCCTTTCGTGTCCCCACTAATAGGCCGTAGAGAGTGGCAAAGCGGTCCTGCTCCGTTCCAGAATCAACGCTACCCGCAAAGCAACGTGTATGAAGAGCAGGTGTGAAAATTTCAATTTGATAGGCTTTTTGCTCGCTCATTATGGAATTGCTTTCATTTTGGTCATGGTTCAGATGCGCTTCGGCGAACCGTATCCGTTCACTGATCGCAGAGGAGGCAGTGATGTGTCGCCATGGTCAAGACCTCTAACTCAGCCAGAGTGGGTCCATTTATTGTTTCTACACTCTTGTTAAATCAAAGGTTGACCTATTTTAGTGAGATGTATAAATTGGAATCAGTGATGCGCAGAGCTGCTCAAGAAAATGCGTCTTCCTTTGAAGCAGTAAGACAAGTGGAGAAAATGGGCCTTGGTTCAGTTGTTGGAGCAATATTGAATGCTGTTGATCACAGGGTATGTTGCAATATGTAAATTGAAGCGAAGAATCACAAAAAATTTTCAATGGTTTTATTTTTTGAAATCCTTTCTTCTCAATTTTGATCACTGTCTTCATCGCAATTTGCATGCGAAAGTCATTACGATGATACCGAGTTGTCTGAAACCCAACAGCCTCGACCAATGCACCCTGGTCGGGAATCGAACACGGCCCTTTCGCTTCTGAGGCGGAGTGCCACCAATGCACTCTGACCGTTTCTACATCCCTGTGAAATTCTTTCTACAGTTACGGTTGGAATGGTGTAGTAGGCTTTTGGTTATCAAATTTTATCTTATGTTCTTTTCCAATTCGTGTTGTTTGTACAAATTGACAACTATTATTTTTTCAGAATCCTAGTTATTCGACGCGTGACGCTCCATCGCAGCGAATTCCAGCGTTTGTTGACGAGCACTACGGGAGGTGAATCTGATTGCAGATTATTTTAAAGCATTCAGTATTGTGTTGTTCGTTATTCGTTAATATGTTGAAATGTATCGTAGTTAATTTGGCTATTAAGGGACCCTCGCATGTCCAGTGGTCTTGATTACACTCCCCTTCCGGTTCGGGACATTAGCAGATATGTGGAACCGCTCGAGGAGTTCAACGACAGGTATTCATACCACATGCTTCCGTATAGGGATTTTTTTACATGCTCGTGATCCCATGGAAGAACCACTGGGCGACTGTCGCTTACACTCATTTCTCATGGGGCATTTCATCATTGTTCTATTTTTTTTGATTCTGCTCCGTATCGGCATTTCATCATTGTTACATTTTTTGACTCTATTCCATACCAAACGTTTAGCTCTCGTACGCTCACTTCGCAGCCTCGTCCCGAACCTATTACTTATCCTATAATGGGCAGAGCTGTTGCGGGCAGTGTTGGTGGAAGTGCAGGCGCTCCTCCGGTTAGTCATCCTCACATATATTTGATGACGTCAATGATTTTAAGGCTTCTTTCCGAACCTTGTGAGAAAAGTATGATTAGCAATTTCTTGCAGTTACCTATACATCATCTCTTATAATCAACAAAACGTTATACTGTAACCAGTTTTATCTACCATTTCAGTTTGGACAGTCATATTCGGCCTTCGCCAGTCAGTCGTTTGGAGGAAGGATGGACTATGG